TTTCCGGGCCCCCCCCCTACCCCGCCTTCCTTCCACTACAGACTGATACACTTTTGAAGTCATTCTGTTTCGCTCCATTCTCTCTACATGTCCGAACCACCTCAACAACCCTTCCTCAGCCCTCTGGACAACATTTTTTGGTAATCCCGCACCTCCTCCTAACTTCCAAACTACGAATTCTCTGCATTATAGTCACACCACACATTGCCCTAAGACATGAAATCTCCACTGCCTCCAGCCTTCTCCTCGCTGCAACATTCATCACCCATGCTTCACACCCATATAAGAGCGTTGGTAAAACTATACTCTCATACATTCCCCTTTTTGCCTCCAAGGACAAAGTTCTTTGTCTCCACAGACTCCTAAGTGCACCGCTCACCCTTTTCCTCTCATTAATTCTTTGATTCACCTCATCTTTCATAGACCCATCCGCTGACACGTCCACTCCCAAATATCTGAATACATTCACCTCCTCCATACTCTCTCCCTCCAATCTGATATCCAGTCTTTCATCACCTAATCTTTTTGTTATCCTCATAACCTTACTCTTTCCTGTATTCACTTTTAATTTTCTTCTTTTACATACCCTACCAAATTCATCCACCAACCTCTGCAACTTCTCTTCAGAATCTCCCAAGAGCACAGTGTCATCAGCAAAGAGTAACTGTGACAACTCCCACTTTATGTGTGATTCTTTATCTTTTAACTCCGCGCCTCTTGCGAAGAGCCTCACATTTACTTCTCTTACAACCCCATCTATAAATATATTAAACAACCATGGTGACATCACACATCCTTGTCTTGTGATGTAGTTCAGCTGGGCTTGTGAGGTCTCTGGGGAGGCCTAATTTAACCAATTATATGGTCACACCTTGCCTTGGCAAATGTCTGTAGCCACGCCCACGTCTGAGGTCTTTTGTTCTTGACGGCGTCAAATCCAGGCGTCAGGTCGTACACGTGGTTGTGGAGGGTGCTTGGACCACGATATAAGCCCAAGGAACAGCTGAGCAGAGAGATTCGAGCGGAGCTGCTGCTGGGGTGCAGAGCTCCTGAGCAGAGACTTCGAGCGGAGCTGCTGCTGGGGTGCAGGGCTCGGGAGAAGGCTGCTGAAGTCTCTGGAGGAGACTGTTGGAGGCATTGGGCAGAGTACTGGCTTGGCGCAGTACTCGTGCTGTGTAGGTCTTCGGACCTGTGGCTTAGTTCCGGTGATGAACTGTCCTCAGAACTATATTGTAAGTTACATTCATTTTGGTCAAGTTGATTGTGTTCCCTGTCTCACTGCTTATGTGTACCACCCCATTTATCTAAACCTCAATGATGTACTCCTGTTCCCAAATATATTATGGTACAAGGACTTAATAATAAACTGTGTTTGAGTAGAATAGTAATATTCACTGCCCACCGTTATTTATTCTTTTTTCTTTATTTTTTATTATGTTATATATGGTGAAAAAGGGCGAGGCTATTTTAAAAGTGATAGTGTAGAGTTAATGAGAGTGTCGTGGTGTCACCACTGACCTTCATTACCTACCTACCTCCCGATCATCTCACCCCTCCCACCTCCCCTTTGCCCTCCCCTGCTTACTAATCCTTACTCCCATATTCCCCACTTATATCCTATTCACTTACCCCCCTATGACAGTTAAGGCCACTTTTACTGGGAAATAATCTCCCTTTTCCTACATACTCTAACTTGAGCCTCACTATCCTCGTAAACTTTCACTGCTTCGTAACCTACCCCCTAAAACCATACACCTGCAACATCTGCCACATTGCCCCCCTTTAGCCACCTGTTACTCGCTTTTTCAAACCCATAAATGCCACAAAAACCTCTTTAGCCTTATCTAAATGCTGTTCATTTGCATTTTTCCCTGTAAACCCTGTCCACCACCCCTACCTTTCCAAAAACCCTCCTTTTCCCATCGTATCCTATTCTCCGTCTTACTCTTAATTCTTTCAATAATAAACTCTCCATACCTTTACAAGGTATATAAACCCGGCCCTTACCCTCTCTAATTTTTGCACTCTCTTTTTTTAAATCCCCTTGCCTTTATAAAAAGGGACTATGCATGCTCTCTGCAATCATTAGGTCCTTACCCTCTTCCATACATTATTAAATAATTGCACCAACCACTCCAAAACTATATCCCCACTACTTTTAACATTTCTATTTTTATTCCATCATCCCGGCTGCTTACCCATTTCATTCTACTTACTGCTTCACGAACTTCCCCCACACTCACAACTGGCTCTTCCTCACTCCTACAAGATGTATTTCCCCCTTGCCCCATACACGAAATCACAACTTCCCTATCTTCATCAACATTTAACAATTTTCTCATATTCCCTCCATCTTCCCAATACCTCTAACTCTCCATTAATAACTCTCCTCTCCTATTTTTAACTGACAAATCCATTCGTTCTCGAGGCTTCCTTAACTTGTTAATCTCACTCCAAAACTTTTTCTTATTTTCAACAAAATTTGTTGATAACATCTCACCCACTCTCTCATTTGCTCTCTTTTTACATTGCTTCACCACTCTCTTAACCTCTCTCTTTTTCTCCATATACTCTTCCCTCCTCGCATCACTTCTACTTTGTAAAAAAATTCTCATAAGCTAACTTTTTCTCCCTTACTACTCTCTTTACATCATCATTCCATCAATCGCTCCTTTTCCCTCCCGAACCCACTTTCCTGTAACCACAAACTTCCTTTCTGAACACTCTAACACTGCATTTTTAAAACCTACCCCATACCTCTTCGACCCCATTGCCTATTCTCTCATTAGCCCATCTATCCTCCAAAGCTGTTTATATCTTACCCTAACTGCCTCCTCTTTTAGTTTATAAACCTTCACCTCTCTCTTCCCTGATGCTTCTGTTCCCTTGTATCCCCTCTACCTTTTACTTTTCAGTGTACTACAAAATAAAAAGTGATCTGATATATCTGTGGCCCCTCTATAAACATGTACATCCTGAAATCTACTCAACAGTCTTTTATCTACCAATACATAATCCAACAAACTACTGTCATTTCGCCCCACATTATATCTTGTATACTTATTTATCCTCTTTTTCATTAATGTTGGTGTAAAAAAATTTAATTTGCAACAAAAGCATCTTAGAAAACTTACCTAAAACCCTATTATAACAAGAACAATTTATTTTATCCTAACCCCAACTAAATATATTTTAGATTTGTTTTCAATAATTTAATACTAAAAAAACACAGTGAAATGTAAATTTTTTTTTCGTAATTCAGAATAATTTTGACGAAATTATTGCATACACAAATTTTCGCTTGCCCTATATGGCAAGATGACGTTGCTTTTTAATTAAGCCAAGATCGCAAGTTCTGCCTATTCGGCACGACATAATATGTATATATATATATATATATATATATAATAATATATAATATATATATATATATGTCGTGCCGAATATGTAAAACTGGTCAATTAGCAAGAACTTCATTCAAAATTAAGTCCTTTCTGAAATTTTCTCTTATACGTTTAAAGATATTTTGTTTTCCTTGATGTTAATGTAAAATTTTTTAATTTTGCAACAAAAGAATCTTAAAACTTACCTAACCTTATTATAACAAGAACAATTTATTTTAGCTTAACCCAACTAAATATGTTTTAAATTTGTTTACGATAATTTAAATACTAAACAAACATAGTGAAATATATTTTTTTCGTTAGGTTCAGAATGATTTTGGCGAAATTATTGCATATACAAATTTTCGCTTGTCCTATATGGCAAGATGAGCGTTGCTATTTAAGCCAAGATCGCAAGTTCTGCCTATTTGGGCACGACATATATATATATATATAAATATATATATATATATATATAAAAAATATATAAATATATATATTATATATATAAAATATATATATTAGAAGAAACTTAGTAAATCAAAGTAGCGTAGATTAATAATCAGAAAGTGTATGGCATATGTGACGTTGTTGCTGGTGAGGCTGGAGGAAGCTCTGGTGTTTATCAGTCTTCGTGTTAGATGAAGGTAAGGTGAGTTTTCTCTCCTACAGGCGTTGAAATAGTTTTTTTCTGCGTGGTGTCTTGGAGGTGTTAAGAGGTAATGTGTTCACAGCCGTCAGGAATGTGTCTCCTACATAAAGAATCAAGCTATTATAAGCTTTCTAGATCTTGAACCAAATAATATTCCTCAACTTTACTTTTGTAATCGCCTTACGTACGACTTATATTACTCGCAGTTATTAGTGTGTTTCTGTATGACTCTTAAGTAACATATAGAAAAAAAGTATTGAAAAGACATTTATTTCTAACGATCCTTACAAATACAGTAGTTATATATTCGAAATGTGAGTTTGATCTTTTTAATAATGCAGTAATAATTTTATACATTATGATGTTCAGATCAAAGTCACTGATTAGTTTGTTCGAAATGCACATGCGTTCCGAACAGACTAATCATAAGGCTTAAGTACTACTTATATCAAGACCTAAAATAAAACTTAAGTCAGTATAGCTTGGGTAATTCATTAAAATCTTAAGTACAATGACACAGGTTTAAAATAAAGAATTGGTAAATTCCAAATTTTTATCTAGGTTTTGAATTGGGATGTTAAAATCAAAGTATGAAAATTTACAGTCAGATGATATAATATTTATGTGAGATTTAATAGTTTAGTATGTGTTTCTTAAGATATTAGTAAAGCTGTTGGCAGCTGTGAAACACACACGTGGAATGTCAATATGACACTTGTTCTTGTGTTCTGCTGTAGTTCTCCAGATAGAATTTAAGTTCTGTCTAAATGTTTGTATGGAGTTTCCTATAGACACATACCACGAATGTTTCTTTGCAACACTCCCAAGTCCGACTGTATTAAAGTTTCGTACAATTTTAGATGACCAACAGTGAACGGATAGCGCCTTCGGAAGTTTATGGTAGTCTTGTCGTTATTTTTCATTACAGCTTCATGTGTGTCCAATGCGGGACAGGTCAGTGTAAGAATAAGGATGTGTTGGTCGCCTTGGAAGTGAATAAGTGGAGTTGACAAGTATATCGAGGTTTCGTGTTTGCATACTAAAGCAGAAAGAAGTAGTAGTAAACGGCATTGGAACAGAACAGAAGGAAAGCGATTTAGAGACCAGTCACAAATGGCGTTCCACTGGGATCAGTGTTGATCACTGTTGATGTAAATGTGGAAATAAAAGCCATTGTATGTTCGATTACACAAAGATAACTGTTGTACAGGTGTCTTAATTATCAAGATAAGCAACATTATGTATAATGGGTCAGCCCACCACTGGGCTGTTAGGCCTACTATGTTCTTATGATTATTTGACGTTTACTGTTTCTTTTGTGAACTTATAACAGTGACATAATAACAGATCAAATCATTTATGTAATTATCAGTCGCAGGTGATTTACGAACATGATAAAAATTGGTAGGAAAAGGTTTCCGATACAGGGGATTAACTTTCTCGTTCTTCTCTTTGTATTTCCCAGCGCACTTGTCAGTTCTATAATATGGAGAACAAAAACTGAACTGAACAATCTAAACGATGCTTTACTAGCAATACGAAAATTTGAAGTATAATTTTGTACTTGGACTTCTATTATTTACACTTCTTGATAAGCCAAGAAGCTGTCTTGGCTGTAGATTACAGAATAGATATAAATGCTCTGGAAAACGTACAAAGGAGGATGACAAAGTTGATCCCATGTATCAGAAATCTTCCCTATGAGGACAGACTGAGGGCCCTGAATCTGCACTCTCTAGAAAGGCATAGAATTAGGGGGGATATGATTGAGGTGTATAAATGAAAAACAGGAATTAATATAGGGGATGTAAACAGCGTGCTAAAGATATCTAACATAGGACTCGCAGCAATGGCTTTAAATTGGAAAAATTCAGATTCAGGAAGGATATAGGAAAGCATTGATTTGGTAATAGAGTTGTGGACGAGTAGAACAAACTCCCGAGTACCGTCATAGACGCATAGACGTTGTGTAGTTTTAAAAATAGGTTGGACAAATACAGGAGTGGATGTGAGTTGGACCTGACTAGCTTGTGCTACTAGGTCGGATGCAGTGCTCCTCCCTAAAGTGACGTGTCTGACCTTACTAGGTCAAGGCATTGGTTTAAGCCGGTGGAAGAATTGGACTTGTCTCGCATAGGCCAGTAGACCTGTTGCAGTGTTCCTTCTCTTTTATGTTCTTATGAGCGGGGACGCAGTATATAGGCCAGAGGGAGGTCGGTAAATAAGGTGAATGCAAATTGTGAAAATCCTTTTAACTTTTTGTTCATGCAGGTATGTTATACGCAGTTCTGAAATGAACGACTTAAACAGTGAGTTGTGTAATACATCGTAACACGCATAATCTGTATAATCTGTATAATCTGAATAATATAAAGAAAAGTATCATAGGTGATAATAAAAACATTGTAAGCAATAACAAAAATAAATCAATGTGAAGAATACACAGAAGAAAAACTTTTTCATTTTATATTGAACAAATAGTGAGAGTACTAGGAGTTATATGGACGAGGTTACCTGAATATGCAGAAAATAAAGATATTATAGCAATAATCGAGACTCATACGAATGACCCAAAAATATGGTTTGGATCTAAATGTTGGAAGAAACTTGAACTATGGGAGCCATTTTTAATATAATACTGCTTATATCTGAAGATATGAAAATGTAATAACTGGAGAAGATTTTAACTTCAGCCAAAATGGCGAATTATTGACTGGGAATCTAGTTAAGTGACTTCCTTGAGGCAGTCCAGGATTGCTTTTTAAAGCAGATTGTGGAAGAACCAATGAGAATAAATAACTTGCTTGACTTTATTCTTGTAAACAAGGAGGCAAACCCTTGTAAAAAAAAAAGTGATAAACACAGTTAAACGAGACTATGAAATTCAAGCTACAAAGGAATTAAAGACAAACCCGAAAGGTTTTTCCCAAGTATATAAGAAAAATTATACGGGGAAATTGGGTCTACTTTAAAAATGTCTAGGGACGAATTTTGACGATGAAAAGAATTTGATAAATTTTTAACACTCATTTCATACTTGCTATTACAAATGGTTATAACTATGACCATAATTTTTAAAGGGGTGGACAAGCAAGTCAGCGGAAGGCCTCGGTCAGACGACCATAAGCTCCAACGGGGCGGGTCATCATCCCTCGCCAGGAAATACCTCTCCTGTTTCCTGACGAACCTTACCTAACCTAACTCATTTCATGTTGGTCTTTTCATAAAATTCCAGTATTTAATTCTAGTGGACTTCGGGGAAAAATACTTAATATCGCATATTTTAGGGACATAATTATCAAAGGAAAACAAATCTCTTGTCCCGACAAATATGCACGAGTCATTCTCGTGTATATTTTGAACGTTGACTTGATTACCCTCACCACCGCCAGTCACCATGGAAGGTTTCCTGACGCTGGTAAGAGGGTCTTTATCCATCAGATTGGACCTACCCTCCCCAGTGATCGATCCTGAATGAATGTCAGCAATAATAATAAATAATAATTGATGCGTCACTGCCCGATAATTTAAAATAAGGAAAATAATATTTGTAGTTCTACATGAAACTTTAAGGAACTGACGCGGAGAACTTCGTAAGAAAATGAACGGACTAATAGAGCAGGTTGTCACGCTGGAGGTGTAGGAAGCAAACACTTAAAAATACAGTCACCAGAACAAACACTGACTTACAGACTTTTCTCTGCACGTAGAGCTTTATCAAGACTTGATAAAGCTCTGCCTAGAACCATGCGTCTTTAAATGATATTTGCTGGGCACAGTGTCATTTTTTAGCACTGGAGTGAGTGTTTTATTATTGTATGGATTACATTTCGGGGATACATAAGAAACGTGATTGTAGTGACATCATTGGGTCTCCTCCGCTTTTGAAGATATCTTTTTATATTCTGGTAAAAGTTTGTTTAGTGCAGTATGCCACTGCTACTGGTGTTGTTACACTGGTGAGCCAGTACTGTGTCAACACTGCAAAATTTGCGTACTCAGTCACTGCACTCCTGACCATGAAGCCTCTGCAGTAGCAGACCCACATAACATCGGAAGAGGCAACACCTCAGACGTGAGGTTGTTGGCAGAGATCAGGTGGCAGGTAGGTGCGCATAGCGAGTCCACAAGACGTGGTAGTTATTCTCAAAAATGGGATTGAAAGTCAGGAGGTAGAGAGGTGCGGACATCAAACCCACAAGAGGTGTTAGTGCCTGTCACAAGTGGGAGTGGGGTCAGGAGCCTGGGAAGTTGGGACAATTAACTATGAAGACGTGGCTGTACCTCACACAGGTTGGGGTGAGAGTCAGGAAGCAGGTAGGTGCAGGTAGGTGTCAGTGCCTCTCACAGGAGAGAGTGAGGGGCCACAAGGCGGTTGGTAGGGCACTCAACTCGATCCCCGGTACGGGTGGAAACAATGCGGTCTGCTACCTTAACACACGTGGTGTCCCTGTTCACCTAGCAGTAAGTAGGTATCTGGGTGTTAGCCAATTGGTGTGGGTCGTATCCTGGGGACAAAATTAACCTAATTTGCCCGAAATGCTCTGCTTAACAAGGGGTTTTCTATATAATATGTCGTTGTATCGGCTAAGTCTGTAAACGTTGTACATGTACGTACTTGTAGAAATTATTATTATTATTATTATTATTATTATTATTATTATTATTATTATTATTATTATTATTATTATTATTATTATTATTATTATTATTATTATTATTATTATTATTATTATCAATCCATATTATCAATCAACTGCAGGCGTCAGTGGGGCGGTAAGAATGGACATCTGGAGGTAGCAACAAGCAACCCTCGCACCCTGCATTACCTCCCAAGAATATAATTATGTGGAACATGAACAACAACATCCCCAGCAACAGCTCCTGCATTGTGTTTATTTTATTCAGTTGCTTCTCTTAAATTCTTAGTATAAATATCAACTTGCTGAAATTGCTTTCTTCTCCACTATAGGGCCTGTTTTATTATTAACATTATTAGATACACAACATTGTGTAAGATATACAACATTGTATAAGAACTACCGTAGCTAACAACGTAAAATTTATATATTCTGCCATACTAATAACTCCCCCAACTGAATACCTCACTCATACAGCCTCTGTAAATGACACTCACAATGTTTATTTCCAGTAAATTCGGTATACAATTGTTATAAGAATTAGTGACAAGGATTTCATATTTCTGGGAACGTCCTAACTTATGCAGAGTATTTAGGTTAGTGTTATAGTAGTTTGAAACTGCAGTGCAATATTTTATTGTGTGGGTTTATAAGAATGTTGTGTTATAATTGTATTGTATCTTAACACTTTATACAAAACATTAGTAAAGCATATGTCAAGGTTAATACTGAAATAAATTGAAAATTTGAATATCTCATATATAGGAACCTAGTGTTGACAGTTTCTGTTCTGTGTGAATACTGATTTATTCTACACTGACAGGTTCTATTGATATATTGAATCATATAATAGTTAAGCTAAGCATAATTTTCATTAAATGAAGATATTTTCTAATAATTCTGGAGCAGTTTATCGATAAGAATCTTTTATCGGCCTTTAGTTTGGCAGAGTTCCTGAATAGGTTGAGTCAGAGACCTGAAGAAACCACTCGTGGCTAAACATTTTCTTAATAAATGTCATGACCAGTGCATTTGTGGTTTTTACCTATAATGGAAGTGTGTTGCCTGGAACCAGCTTAAGAGATCATTCGAATAGTTGAATTTTGTTGGGTAATGTAAGGTTGTAGGTGATTAGCTGTTGTAGATCTCCATGTACGTATACCATAAGTGAGGAAATGATAGATTAGAGAGTAGTTCAGGGTAAGGAACGTTTGCAGTACATAGCGAATTTTTGAAAGAATACCCAGAGTATTGGAAATTTAGAAGTATGGACGTTTTTAAGAAATCTGTGCGAGACAGTGAACGGAAAAAAAGCAGGCTTGCTATAACTTGAATGCCTCTTCTGAAAGGATTGAAACTTTTAAGGCTACTATAGTTAACTTAGAGTTAGGTTCTTATTGTTATTAGTAATTAGGTCCCAATTTGAAAATTAAATTTAAGGTTTTGGGATAATTTCTGTCCGATAACTTGAAAATGCCTCTTCTGGTTGGCTTCACACTTTCAAGGCTGTTGTATCTTGCTTAGAAAAACATTCGGATTCTGGTTGCACTTCTTGAGAGCCAAGTTGTCAATATTATAGCTTAGGACACTTGAGAGTGGCACTACTGAACAATTTCAAATTTATATCACTAATTCATCAAACTCCAAGAAAGATTCCCTTGCATTTTAATGTTATAAGTTGAAATTAATTTTTTTTTCTGAAGAAATTTTGTTAGTTTTCTGTGCGATAAATCGAGAATGACTCGTCTGATCGTCTTAAACCTTCAACTATTATGTATATTAGAAGAAGGCTTGAATTGGTTTTCAGCTGTACAGGTATTAATTTGCCAAGTTTACTGAATAAATTAGATTACTTTGCTTCAGAGGCTGGAGTTATGTGTTGCATCTCTCTCTCTTGACTACACAATAACCAAAACGTCTATTTTTGTAGAAAAGAAATTTTCAAGAAATTTATGTTCTCTTGTTTTTGGTAGACAATGGCAAAAGTCGACAAGTAGCTGAGAATCCTTTCAAATCATCGTTTTGTCCAAGGTTGGGATTTATCATGTACACAGGACTGAGCAAATACACAGTTTTATAAGGCAAACGAGCACCACGAGGTTAAGTTCCGAGAAGGATATACCACACATATGGTCACTGCAAGAACTTGTCACACATACGATCATATATTGCGAGATCAGGTCTGGTGAGGTCAGGTACTGGTGGGAGCAGGAGGTGGGGGTAAGGTGAGTTTGTATTTGTTATAAGAATCGTGGACAACAGGTCCAGCCAACGTGTATATCCCACAGTTTTGATCCAAGTTCTTAGTGAGGTGAAACACTGCTGCTTCCAGAATTCTGCATCTGGTCTATCGTTCTCGTGGTGTGACAGCTGTGCTCGTCTCCAGTCAGTGACCATAGGATGAATGACTCACGAAATCGTAATGACACGATTGCAAACAAACCATACCACGGTAATTAGGTAATCCCTAAATCTTCAGCAGTGTGCAGCAGTAATTCTTTCAATAATTCGTAACTTGGTGACTAACGGCTCGATTTTTATGACCTTTATGACCTATAGATCCATTATATATATATATAAAATAATGTCGTGCCGAATAGGTAAAACTGGTCAATTAGCAAGAACTCATTTAAAATTAAGTCGTTTCTAAAATTTTCTCTTATACGTTTGAAGATATATTTTTTCATTTATGTTAATGTAAAAATAAATAATTTTGTAAGAATAGAACCTTAGAAAACTTATCTAACCTTATTATAACAAGCGCTATTTAATTTAGCATAATCCAAATAAATATATTTCAGATAAGTTTACAATAATTTAATAATAAACAAGCACAATGAAATATTTTTTTTGTTTACCTGGAGTTTACCTGGAGAGAGTTCCGGGGGTCAACGCCCCCGCGGCCCGGTCTGTGACCAGGCCTCCTTAGGTCAGTGTCCCAGGATGCGACCCACACCAGTCGACTAACACCCAGGTACCCATTTTACTGATGGGGAACATAGACAACAGGTTGAAAGAAACACGTCCAATGTTTCTACTCTGGCTGGGAATCGAACCCAGGCCCTCACCGTGTGAAGCGAGAGCGTTAACCACCAGGCCACCAGGGTTCAGAATGATTTTTGCGAAATTATTGCATATACAAATTTTCGCTTGTCTTATTTGGCAAGAAGAGCGTTGCTATTTAAGCCAAAATCGCAAGATTTACCTATTCAGCAAGAGGCGTGGAGTTACAAGATAAAGAATCACACATAAAGTGGGAGTTGTCACAGTTGCTCTTTGCTGATGACACTGTGCTCTTGGGTGATTCTGAAGAGAAGTTGCAGAGGTTGGTGGATGGATTTGGTAGGGTATGAAAAAGAAGAAAATTAAAAGTGAATACAGGAAAGAGTAAGGTTATGAGGATAACAAAAAGATTAGGTGATGAAAGATTGGATATCAGGTTGGAGGGAGAGAGTATGGACGAGGTGAATGTATTCTGATATTTGGGAGTGGACGTGTCAGCGGATGGGTTTATGAAAGATGAGGTGAATCATAGAATTGATAAGGGGAAAAGGGTGAGCGGTGCACTTAGGAGTCTGTGGAGACAAAGAACTTTGTCCTTGGAGGCAAAGAAGGGAATGTATGAGAGTATAGTTTTACCAACTCTCTTATATGGGTGTGAAACATGGGTGATGAATGTTGCAGTGAGGAGAAGGCTGGAGACAGTGGAGATGTCATGTCTGAGGGCAATGCGTGGTGTGAATATAATGCAGAGAATTCGTAGTTTGGAAGTTAGGAGGAGGTACGGGATTGCCAAAACTGTTGTCCAGAGGGCTGAGGAAGGGTTGTTGAGGTGGTTCGGACATGTAGAGAGAATGGAGCGAAACAGAATGACTTCAAGAGTGTATCAGTCTGTAGTGGAAGGAAGGCGGGGTAGGGGTCGGCCTAGGAAAGGTTGGAGAGAGGGGGTAAAGGAGGTTTTGTGTGCGAGGGGCTTGGACTTCCAGCAGGCATGCGTGAGCGTGTTTGATAGGAGTGAATGGAGACAAATGGTTTTTAATACTTGACGTGCTGTTGGAGTGTGAGCAAAGTAACATTTATGAAGGGATTCAGGGAAACCGGCAGGCCGGACTTGAGTCCTGGAGATGGGAAGTACATTGCCTGCACTCTGAAGGAGGGGTGTTAATGTTGCAGTTTAAAAACTGTAGTGTAAAGCACCCTTCTGGCAAAACAGTGATGGAGTGAATGATGGTGAAAGTTTTTCTTTATCGGGCCACCCTGCCTTGGTGGGAATCGGCCAGTGTGCTAATAAAATAATAAATATATATATGTCATGCTGAATAGGTAAATTGGTCGGATTAGCCAAGTTGCTGAGGCATTCTGATGTTTCAGACTGAGGGAGGGTTGACTGAGCAATTCCCTGAGTTTATGGAGCACTTCAGCCAGACTCTCTTGAGACATCTGCTGGCACTCATCGTACAGTAGATCGTCAACTCTTTGAGTGTGTATTCACTGTTGAAATTCAGTGTTCTCATATTTCACCATTCTTCATAACACTATTCTTGAAATGGTTATCTTGTGTTTAAATATGTACATGGTATAGTGTACATGATTCTGGTGATGGAATACATCTAAATTACTGTTTCATATCTGGTTTCTTTCCTCGTTTGACTGAGCTTTGACTCGTCTAAACTGGTTTATAGTGAGAATTGATACTAAAGGCTATAGAAAAATACCAACCTTTTTGTATTACGCGAACCTTCTTTGACGATTGAAAGAAAACTTCCAAGATAAATTAATCAACTCTTTTTCTACTTCTGAGTTCTCACAATCTGCATCTGTCATGTTTTCTTCGGTACCATTTCCATAACACTGCACATTATAATACTTTTCTTTTTTTAACCACAACAGGTGTAACAGCCAGACTATACTATGACCAGCAGAGTACAGAAACTTTAACTATGGACATTAACCAATCTGTCTCCTTCGGGAAGAGGAACGGTTGGTATGTTAGCAGAGGTGTTGCATTCCTGCTGGGGCTGGTCTTCGTGAGTGTTGTAGTGGCCACGGGACTTCTCGTTTACTACTACGCCCCGCATGTCAAGGAGTCAGGACAAGAGTCCCAGGACCTGAAAGACGACAGAGGACGTAGCCCACTAGTGAGTACCTGAATACCTTCAGGATTTCTGGCCTGAGTTTTTCCAGTGCAACTTAGTTTTGTTGCATATTCTCGCACCTGTGCTCCAGTCATGTAAATGTTACTGCTGGTACGCATGTAAGCTCGTTAGTCGTATATTAGTCAGAGAGTTCTGCTGAAGACTAAAAGTATCCAGATCATTGTCAAAGTTATATTTCATGTTTTTTTTTCTCGAGCTATCAGCTATTAACTAAAATATTTGTCTTTCAGAACAGTTCCTGGTAAGTTTATACATTATTACCTTTTCAAGGTTTGTCGCCTTTATAAGGTAGTGAAGAGCTCTTGAGTCATGAAATTTGAGCTACTCCGTCTTCCTCGGATAAAATTTAATTATCAGTCATTTTCCAAGAGATGTTTGAGCCTTACATGTTTAGAGCTTCCTCGTGAATATAATTGTACACACTTTTATCTTAAGAGGAATGTTAATGAGAGCTTCAAACGCATTAACTTTTTTTTTTTAATATCTGAAAATATGGTTAAATATTTAGCTGTGTTAACTAATATCTTACAGCAACCTCCCACACACTCGCCTGTTGAGACATCTCCTGAAACACCATCTAAAGAGAAAATCAATGTAAGATTACCCAGAGCCCTCAAGCCTCTCCACTATATGGTCAAACTTCAACCTTTTATTAATGGCAACTTCAGCATCATGGGATACGTGGAGGTGGAGATGGAGGTTGTTGAGCCGACCTCCAACATTACTCTTCATATTAATGATATAATCACAAACAACGAAACCATCAAGGTATGTCTTGGAAAATATTGTTTAAGATAACAAAACTGTATAGAAACTTCTTTCACAGCTTTACATCATATAGATACGTAATCATGAGTGATTATAAAGAAAGATTAAAGAAAATAGTTGTATTGGGTCAGCAGTGCTGGAAATGCTCTTGATTTCGCCTTATAATTTTACAGTTGACACCTGATGATCGGATGGAACCCGAGATAAGGATTTTAAGGCATCTATATGACAAAGAACGAGAATTTTACATTGCCAAGTTAAACAAGGAGCTAAAGCCCGGCAAGAAATATGTTCTTTCCATGGAGTTCGTTGGTTACCTCAATGACAATCTCGTTGGCTTCTACAGATCTTCGTACTCGGATGAACATGGGAATGAAAAGTAAGATTAATTATCGTATAAGCATTTTAGTTAACTTACATTTGAACTCTCCATAATGAAAATACTTGCATTGTACTTTCCTGTTTTTTTTAGAAGGATTGCAGTGACTCAGTTCGAACCAACGGACGCCAGAAGAGCCTTTCCCTGTTTTGATGAACCTGCGTTGAAAGCCACTTACGAAGTTTTTCTGGCCAGGGAAGCTTCAATGTCCTCCCTTTCAAACATGCCAAAGTTTGAAACAATGCCAATGTAAGACAAAGGATTTTATTTTAAACGAGTTTTATGCTAAATTTAGCTTGTTAGTCATATACAGAACATAGGAAGTAAATGGTAAAAATATTATTTATATATTTACTTATTATTTCTTTCCCAGCGAGGGTCAAGATGGGTGGGTGTGGGACCACTTCAACACGAGCGTGCCCATGTCCACTTACCTGGTCGCCTTTGTCATCTCCGACTTCGCTAGCATGGAGTCCCACGACAACGATCACGTTATCTTCCGAGGTAGGTGTTGATGGAAAATTAATATTTTGTATAATTATGAATTTCGCACATCTGCCATGTGATAGAAACAGACACAAAAGTTGTATAATGCAATTCTTTATCGATAATGTGTATCTCTGACAGTGGGTTTCTTCACGTTAACGTAACTTGAAAAAGCAGACTGCGAGGGAGTAACCATGTGGATAAAGAATTGTATTATACTACATTTAGGTATATTTCCATTGTGTTGATATTTAATACCAACACTGTATCCAGTGTGTATGCTGAACTAATTGACTGTGTATTATCTGGTGCCCCAGCATGTGAGTCACTGAACATAAACATGTATATATATATATATATATATATATATATATATATATATATATATATATATATATATATATATATATTTATATATATATATATATAATACACACACACACACAAACACTGATCTCTGGCTGAAGGAGACTCGAACTACGAACTTTGGAACCTTGGAACAAGGTATGCAGTGCTATACCAATCTACCCACACTGGACAATACCTTGGCGTGCAGCTTGCGCTGCGCATTGATCCAAGGCAGCCAGCTTTCAGGGAGAAGGCTTACAGCTGTAAGCTTCTCCTTGAAAGCTGGCTGCCTTCGATCAACGTGTAGCGCAAGCTGCACGCCAAGGTATTGTCCAGTGTGGATAGATTGGTATAGCACTGCGTACCTTGTTCCAAGGTTCGTAGGTTCGAGTCTCCTTCAGCCAGAGATCAGTGTTTGTGTATATTTCGCCTGCTCTTGCGAATTCCTTGCATTTTATATATATATATATATATATATATATATATATATATATATATATATATATTATATATATATATATATATGCAAAAAAAACACTGAAAGAATAGAGAAATTCCAAGCGCTTACGTGACTACTCACATTATCAAGGAACAATGTTTTGCATATATATATATATATATATATATATATATATATATATATATATATATATATATATATATATATATATATATATATATATATATATATATATATATATATTATATATATATATATACAGTCGACCCTCAACTAAGGGCAGCATCAAGTAACGGCAATTTCGTCTAATGGCGCTTTTTGCAGTAGAAAAAATGCCTTAATTATCGGCGAAAAACTTAAACAACGACGTTCATCTGGAACATGTCATGTGCCCAGAGCGCGGCCTGAGTGGGCCCAGCCACTCCAAGACTCAGTGTGCCATTGTTTACAAGCTGTTGCGATCGGTTTCCACATGTGCCTCCCATACATTTTGGTTTATTCCACTGATTCTAGTGCTTGTAACTGCTAAATAAGCTACATGGGCCCCAAGAAAGCTTCTAGAGCCAGCCCTTTGGTAAAGGATGTGAGAAACACGATAGAATTAAAAAAAAGTTTGTAGAAATATTCGAAAGTGGTGGTGGTAGAGGGTGGTAGTGATGGTGGTAGAGGGTGGTAGTGATGATGGTAGTGATGGTGATAGAGGGTGGTAGTGATGGTGGTAGACGGTGGTAGTTATGGTGGTAGAGGGTGGTAGTGATGGTGGCAGAGGGTGGTAGTGAGGGTGTTAGAGGGTGGTAGTGATGGTGGTAGAGGGTGGTAGTGATGGTGGTAGAAGGTGGTAGTGATGGTGGTAAAGGGTGATAGTGATGGTGGTAGAGGGTGGTACCGGTTGTGATGGTGGTAGAGGGTAATACTGGTTGTGAGGGTGGTAGAGGGTGGGAGTGATGGTGGTAGAGGGTGGTAGTGATGGTGGTAAAGGGTGGTCCAGTGATTCTCAAGCAGGTTCTAGTGGCATTAATAAACCAAGAAGGGAGGTAACCCCACCAAAGGACTTGGTTCCTGAAGTCTTTATCGAAGGGGATTCTCCTTCCAAGCAATAGACAATCCTGAATTTCCCCTGCTGCTGGCACATCACTCATCAACAACTCCACAATAAAGGTAAGTGGCATTTAATTATTGTTTATTTTGCATGTCCCATTCCTTTCCACATAAGTAAATGTATATTTCATGTAAAAATTTTTTTTCAGACTTTGGGGGTGTCAGGAACGGATTAGTTTTATTTCCATTATTTCTTATGGGGAAAATTAACTGGACCAACGGCAATTTTGAGCAATGGCAAGCTCTCTGGAATGGATTAATGCAGTTGGTTGAGGGTCCACTGTACATATATATATATGCAAGGAATTCGCAAGAGCAGGCGAAATATACACAAACACTGATCTCTGGCCGAAGGAGACTCGAACCTACGAACCTTGGAACAAGGTACGCAGTGCTTTACCATTCTCACCACACTTGGCGCCTAGCACAATGCTAGACGTTGATCCAAGGCAGCCAGCTTTCAGGGAGAAGGCTTACAGCTTTTCATCTCATCCCCTGCATGCATCAGCCTTACTAGAGATTTCAACAATGAAAGGAATTCGCAAAAGCAGGCGAAATATACACAAACACTGACCTCTGGCCGAAGGAGACTCGAATCTAGGAACCTTGGAACAAGGTACGCAGTGCTTTACCATTCTCACCACACTGGACAATACTTTGGCGCCTAGCACAATGCTAGACGTTGATCCAAGGCAGCCAGCTTTCAGGGAGAAGGCTTACAGCTTTTCATCTCATCCCCTGCATGCATCAGCCTTACTAGAGATTTTAACAATGCAAGGAATTCGCAAGAGCAGGCGAAATATACGCAAACGCTGATCTCTGTCCGAAGGAGACTCGAACCTACGAACCTTGGAACAAGGTACGCAGTGCTTTACCATTCTCACCACACTGGACAATACCTTGGCGCCTAGCACAATGCTAGACGTTGATCCAAGGCAGCCAGCTTTCAGGCTTTTCATCTCATCTCCTGCATGCATCAGCATGGTGCCAAGGTATTGTCCAGTGTGGTAAAAATGGTAAAGCAATGCATACCTTGTTCCAAGGTTCGTAGGTTCGAATCTCCTTCGGCCAGAGATCAGTGTTTGTGTATATTTCGCTTGCTCTTGCGAATTCCTCGCATTGTTAAAATCTCTAGTAAGGCTGATGCATGCAGAGGATGAAATGAAAAGCTGTAAGCCTTCTCACTGAAAGCTGGCTGCCTTGGATCAACGTCTAGCGCAAGCTGGGCGCCAAGGTATTGTCCAGTGTGGTGAGAATGGTAAAGCACTGCATACCTTATTCCAAGGTTCGTAGGTTCGAGTCTCCTTCGGCCAGAGATCAGTGTTTGTGTATATTTCGCCTGCTCTTGCGAATTCCTTGCATTGTTAAAATCTCTAGTAAGACTGATGCATGCAGGGGATGAGGTGAAAAGCTTTAAGCCTTTTTCCTGAAAGCTGGCTGCCTTGGATCAACGTCTAGCATTGTGCTAGGCGCCAAGGTATTGTCCAGTGTGGTGAGAATGGTAAAGCACTGCGTACCTTGTTCCAAGGTTCGTAGGTTCGAGTCTCCTTCGGCCAGAGATCAGTGTATATATATATATATATATATATATATATATATATATATATATATATATATATATATGTATTGTACCCATGAATGAGTGGTATTGATCATAAACAACACTGCGACTAGCCAAAGACTCGAACCCATGTTGTGTTGGCCTGCCTCATGGAGAGAGAAAACCACATGATGCTGAAACCCATAGGACCACCAAACTCTACAAAAATCACGCACCCAGCACTGCTAGGTATTTTACCGTGATCCGAGGACATACGGTAGTGTGGATGCCTCTGAGCTAATTTCATTCTACTCCCAGTTTTGTGTACTAGCCTCAACAAGCAGTGTTTTTTATTATTGTACCCACGAACGAGTGGTATTGATCAATAACAACACTGCGACTAGCCAAGGACTCGAACCAATGTTATTTTGGCCCACCCCATGGTGAGCGAAAACCACGATTCTTGTAGGATTTGCTGATCCTGTGGGTTAGAGCGTCATGTGGTTTTCGCTCACCATGATAATGGTGAGTAGTCCCGAAATCGCTTGGAATTTCTCTATTCTTTCACAGTGGTTGTTTTGCCTATATATATATTATATATTATATATATATTATATATATATATATATATATATATATATATATATATATCTTTCTTCTTTCAACATACCAGCCGTATCCCACCGAGGCGGGGTGGCCCAAAAGAAAAAACTAAAGTTTCTCTTTTTAAATTTAGTAATATATACAGGAGAAGGGGTTACTAGCCCTTGCTCCCGGCATTTTAGTCGCCTCTTACAACACGCATGGCTTACGGAGGAGAATATATATATATATATATATATATATATATATATATATATATATATATATATATATATATATATATATATATATATATATATATATATATATATATATATATAAATATATATATATATATATATATATATATATATATATAGAATCTCTAGTAAGGCTGATGCATGCAGGGGATGAGATGAAAAGCTGTAAGCCTTCTCCCTGAAAGCTGGCTGCCTTGGATCAAACGTGTAGCGCATGCTACACGCCAAGGTACTGTCCAGTGTGGGTAGATTGGTAAAGCACTGCGTACCTTGTCCTAAGGTTCGTAGGTTCGAGTCTCCTTCAGCCAGAGATCAGTGTTTGTGTATATTTCGCATGCTCTCGCGAATTCCTTGCATATATATATATGTATGTAATGTCGTTCCGAATATGTAAAACTTGCGATCTTGGCATAAATAGCAACGTTCATCTTGCCATAGAGGACAAGTGAAAATTTGTGTATACAATAATTTAGCAAAAATCATTCTGAACCTAACGAAAAAAAATGTATTTCATTCTGTTTGCTTAGTATTAAATTATTGTAAACGTATTTAAAATATATTAAGTTTGGTTAGGCTGAAATAAATTGCGCCTGTTATAACAAGGTTAGGTAAGTTTTCTAAGATTCTTTTGGTGCAAAATTAAAAAAAAAATTTTACGTTAACATTAATGAAAAAAGATATATCTTTAAACGTATAAGAGAAAATTTTAGAAAGGACTTAATTTTAAATG